ACATCATTTCAAGCTTTCGTCAATGCTTCGTTGTGGCTTTGTAGGCAGGAAGCACAGTAAGAATAGTGCAGTTGGCACCTTCCCTTAGAGACTAACCAAACCCTCCTGGAGTAAGCCGGGGAGTAAGTCTTTATTTGACTCTTGCAGTTGGCAATCAGAAAAATGACTGTCAAACAAAACAGTGTTACCTTTGGGGAATATGGATTTAACTAGACCATATACAAAAAGAGAGAGAGATTGTGGTTGCCAAATCACTCAGTAGTGAAAATCTTCAAGCGTCTGGAGTTGCATAACACCTTTTTTATAACATAATGCTTTAACCGGAAAAAAGAACCTAAAATAAAAGTAATAAACTCTTGTGACTTCTGCCTTCTGCCCATGGATTTATGGCATCAGAGCCTTCAACATAACATCTGTGTGTGCTGCCATTTGCCCTTTTAGTATTTTTCCAGCACTCCATAGGAAGAAGTACTTTGCAATTACTGGAAATGACAAATGGTTTTCATATCATTTCTTTATTTTTGGAAAGGATATAAAACTGGAAAGGTCCAGCCCATTGCCTAAAATGCATTCACTCAATTGAGAATTTGCCTTGTTCATGTAAACATAGAGGGACTTTAGATCTTCTCAAATGTAAAGCAAGAACAGGCAGTATACAACCTGTTTCACTAGTACAGATTCATACCATTTCCTTCCACTGTATCTACATACAAGCATTGGGGGGAGCACAGTAGGAAGCAGTATAAGAAGTTACCTGCTCCTTAAAAACAATCAGTTGTTTGCAGGTAGCACAAGGAAATTTTGCTCTTCCCTGTCACTCTCCCTCAGATTACTTTACCAGGAGGTGAAATCTCTCTCTGCAGTATGTGTGCTCACCAATAGGCTGTTACCTGTATTCACCTTTTTTAATAATAAAATAAGAGAACTACCCCACTTCTCATTGCAAGCTTTTGTCTTCTTCCAATTTAACACTTGATATTAGCTTTCAGGGAGATAATTTATTTTGCTAAAATCTGTCAGGTTACAGTGATTTGATCTGTTGAAAATCTGAGGTTTCTGACAGGAAGTGTAAGGCCACGAAAATTCCACAACCTTAAAAATAAATGGCCTGAAAATTGAGAGCCAAAACCAGACAGAGTGGGTACTTCCTTATGACAGACAGAACGGAGGGTTGTATTCACCTCCATGGATGTAAACTGATTGAGTGTTGAAGCCTGGGAACCCTTCTCAATGCTTTTTATAGTGTATCTTAGCTGCTGTCCTGTAAGTGTCTTTAATGGAATTTTATCTCCCTGTTTTATTTTACTGATACTTTTTATACTGTTTATTTTGCTGGTAACTGTTTTGAGTTGCTGAATGTAACGATCAGTTCCCATGAGTGGTACTCTGCTCCTTGAAAATTCCAGTGTGGGGGCATTGCACCAAAAAATCATTGATAGAGTACAGTATGAATAAAGGACCTACACTTTTATTATACTACATCTGGTTACCATTCATATTCATTCATTGCCTACGAGAAAGCATTCTGTTCAGGTGAGCCCAACTCATCATGCAGTTCAAACCATATTGTAGCTCAACCCATGATCATCATTGTATTTTTTTCATATGCAAACCTTCTCAGCAAAGACGTAATTTTCTCCTGAATTGTCACTACAGATAATAAAATTCAGCAGGACAAACACAGATTCATGTGTGAGCTTATTAGAAATGATTCTTTCAATGCCAAGTTTTTCATTTCCTTTTTTTATATCTGTCAACGAGCTATCTGTTCATGAATTAATTTTTCGTACTGTTAATGTGCCAATCAAATCAGATGCAGGTCTTAACTTAGAAAGGAATTTCGGAGAAATTAAGTGCATGAGCTCTGTCACCTCTGTCAGCTAGATTTGCAAGCATATCAGAATTTGTGTTAAATCTTCTCAACAAGGTCTTTTTTTCCACAAAAAGGTATTGCCTGATACTGATTATGATAATTTCCTTTGCATCTTTACAATTGTTTTTAATAATTCTGGTTTTATAACTTTGCCCCAAAGCAGTGGCAAGTGCATTGCATATAATGGCCTTATTTACCCTTTTGCTAATAGTAACATTTTTTTTTTCTTACCTACTCTACAGATCTTACTGTAACAAGAATGTCATGGATGTCTGTATGTGGCATAACAGCACAAGGCCAAAGGATTGAATTGCGACTTCTAGGCATGATTCGGACATTAAATTGTTATGCAGAAAAGATATATGTCCAGTAGAAAAGCTGTTGTAATCAGGCAGTGAAAATAAGTTTTCCCAACACAGTCATTTTAAAGCCACTGATCATCAGTGTTTATTTTTTAAGCCCCTTTGTTTGTCTGACCTCTTGTATATGGTAGTGTAAATAGGAAATAGGGGAATGTACATACATTATTGTGCCTAGAAGTGCCTTCTCTGCGAGTTCAGCTATTCTGTGTAAATTTAGATTTCTGCAATGCATGAAGATCAGACAGGAATGTTCAAATATTTAGAGAAAGTACTGTATAGTATGTTTATAATGAAACGTATTTTCTTCCTGTCCCATTTTTCTGCCATGACAGATGACTTCCCCCTTCCTCAGTATTCTAACTGTATGGTTTTACTTGTACAATAAATTTTCCTGGAACGGTAACCATCTGCTGAAATGGAAATTGCAATAAATGTCCTGCTAATGTTTTGAGAAAAACAAGTTCCCCTTAAGGATAGAACCTACACCTGCAAAAATGCCCCACTTAACCAGAAAACACCCTACATCAATCTTTGATGTTAGCACTTTCCTCAGCTTGATGGGAATTTCCTTGTGCCTTGAGAATTCAAAGCACTTTGCATCCTGGGCTTGGTTCTTCCTGGAATGAGTGTAGAACCAAGATCTTATAGACTTACAGAAAGCAATAATGTTACAAAATCTGGTGCCGGGTGAGCTATACATGAATTGTACGATAGTTGACTTTATTTTCATTTATAGATCTTTTCAGATCAAACACTACCAAAGAGAAGTGTTTGGAACAATAATGAAACAAGGGTGCTAATTTGATGCAGGGAGTGATCTATGTACCTAAACAAAGGCATATAGTGCTATTTGAGACTCTAAGGTATCCAAGATACCTAATGAACCCAGGAGATATGATACAGTACCTATAGGAGACCCAAGCTCTTCTGAAGCAGCAACTGAGGATGGATAGGATGCTGTAACCTGTAATACTGCATTCTTACGTGTAAAGAGCTCTGGTTTTGCAAAACTAGGTTTACCTAGGAAGAAATACATTATGCTCTAGGAAACAAGAGACAATAGTGTGCAATCTCAGACAAAATAAAAATGTGGACTGTGGTTATGTCTAAGTGCAGTTAGGTGACATGAGTATTGGTCGGAAAAACATTTTATTGGCAAATTTAGTGTCATTGAGACTCTTTCCCTCACTAGGAGAGATGAAAAATACTAGCAAGTAGCTAGCAGAAGGAAATCTTAGCTGAAATTCATTGGCAAAAAGCAAGGGGAGATCTAATTGCAATTTAAAATTTAGCACAGTCAACTATATTAAACTCTGTATCACATTAAAAGTACTGTTAGATGAGAGCTCAGTAAAATTTGCTCTCAATACTCTTGTTTATGTTGGCCTGCTGGGCATCCTATTCCTTTTTCCCTCAAATCCCTAGTAACATGGGTGATTCTTTGCCATTCTGTCTTTTCAGAATTATGGCCATCTGCATTTCATTGTGTAAATCCTTTAACTTGTTTAGAGAGAAAAAGAGAAATGTTTATTTTCTTACAGTGTCGAAGATTATCAGTGAGAAAGGTGCCAAAATGCTTTTAAACTGAGAAAGTCCTGAGTGTGATATGTCTGCTCTGTTTTTATTCATCTTTCACACAGTGAAAAAGGAAATTAAGTTAATGGAAAATATTTGATATGACAGCAGTTGTTGCTATAATAATACCATGCATACAATGTTTCTGAGCAAATTATTCCATACTATTTTTGAAAGGACTGCAGTGCAATACCTTTTTTCCAAAGCAAAGGACAATGATGCAATATTGAAAAAAAAAAAATAAATCTTTTTACAGTAGTTATTTGAAACTTTTCCTTCTGAATTCATTTTGGTACAAATTCAACAGGAAGCCTAAATTCATCTCATCTCTGAAAATCTAACATTCTATTTTTAAGTTCTGACTTCACAGACAAATATAAATACTTAGTCCTTTTCGTAGTTGTTTATATGAATCTTTAACCTGTTGTTTATGTAATAAACAGTTAAATCACAAGGGCAGTTGAACAACTGCTCCCTATTAGTGGATTAAAAAATTACCCTGGTAAAGGAAGACAGTCTAACACCTATTTCCACTTATATTATTTGCATATTTCAAGTAGTTTAATGACTAACTTGAATCTCATCCTGATCCCCATCAGGAATGTAAATTTTCTTTTCTGTCCTCATGTTTTGAACTCAGAGACAGTCACATACACATGAATATCCTCACCTGAAGTTCAGGGCAGTATAAAGTCTACCCCTGTATATGAGCTTGCAGGACCTGACATAAATTGAAACCACACAAATGAAATGAAACTGGTGTTGAAGCAGAACTGAAATCTTGAATCAATTGCAAGTGTAGTGCTCTGTACTGGCTACTTTTCCTCATGAACTCCTGAACCTTAGCTTTCTTCCACTGAAAGTGTTTTTGCTCTAACACCATTTATTTCTTTATACAAAAATGTTAGTGAGGCGGATCTCCTTTGTATAGAACCTTTTAAAAGCTAAAGGTGAAAGCCACTGAGTATGTTCTTTTATCTATCTGCGCCTTTTATTATGTCTCGCCTGTGTGTGTATGTATATATACATATATACACATACACATACATATACATACATATATATACATGCACAGAAAATTTTTTTATCTTTGTGTGGGCACACTCCATATTTCTTCTTGTTTATTTAAACAACTTTTCTCACTAAAAATGGACATTTGGTCATTCATTTTTTCATTAATTTTAATGTAGGAAGTCTCCAACATCCACTTGTTATAAAGAAGACCAGATGAAAGATGTCCTAGAATTAGGTAAGTTATGTCAAGCTCCAGTTTGACTTATGCCATATTCTTCAGAGCACCTGTAACCAAATACATGAGTTGCTTCTTTTCTAACTCTTAGTTGATTCAGAGTAACTGCATTTGCTATTAACTTCTTGGGTAAGACTGTGTAAAGGAGTAATTAAGAATTAACCAAAAAAACCACTGGCTCATGTATTTTTTATCTGTCCTTTCTGGCTAAAGCTGTATTTTCTTTTTTATAAAGATGGATGACAAGGAAGTCTTGATTGCTATATTGATCACTCCCTGGCATTGAGCCTGCTGGGGGAAGCAACTTTTTTCAGCCAACATACGATATGATTTTTTCTTTTCTTTCAGTTGATGTTGAGGATGAAGAAACAACTGGTGAAGTTAGTAAGAATGCAGATCTTGCAACACTGTACATGCTTCAAGTCGTATCAAAGGCAATTGATATTTCTCTTGCGAAAGTAAGACTAACTATGATGGTTCATACAAATATATGTGTGAGAATGTTACTTCAATCAAGTTAGCCAAAACTGCAATGGATTTCTCTGTGTTGCATGTTTGTGTGATTGAAACATGTGCTGTATTAATTCCTGAGTATATTCCTTATTTGGTATTCAGGTGAAAATGTAATGTAGGGATGCCTGTCCAAAATTCAGAAGGATACCAGGAGAATGTGTTAGAATGCATCAGCCCACTTGAAGCACGGATAATAGCTTTAATTAACGAAGCTTGTAATATTTTAATTGTAGTCATTGATTCATGTGCTTATTGTTCAGTCCTTTAAATTGACAGTGGTTTAAGATAGGTTTATTATTCTCATATCACTGTTTCTCTGTTGCTTATCTTCCTTATTTGAGCAGAGATGGAACTGTTAAATACTTTTAATATTTTCCTTCCCATTCAGAGGGAAAAAAAAACAGAGAAAAGATAATGGTGTCTTTCAATTTTATTTCTAGATCAAAGAGGTCTGAGTAACTATACAAACACTGAGCAGTCTGTTCTTATTTACTCAGCTTTTCTTTAGCATGAATGCAATTTCTTCAGCTATTCCTGAATTATAGTAGTCTGCAGTTGTTCAGGGCCAAGGTCTGAATTTGGCATATGCTGATATACTGTCCAACATACAACAGTCAGACATTGGAGTAACATTTATCTCATACCACCAACTTTGACAGGCAAACCAGGCTGAAAAACCAGGTTTCTCCATGCTGTGTCAAGCAGGGTCCTTTTTTCCCTAATGTAACCATCAGTAGATGTTGATCTTCTAACTGTTCAATTTAAGGCAATATTCTGTAATGCTTTCCTGGGAAACTGTGCCCCAGACAAACTGTATAAAGAGTTTCCTATGCTGAGCGTCACACAGCGTTATGAGTTGAAGGAATATTGCAGGAAAAGGAAAAAATTGCTCCTTTTCATTTGAGTGTTGCTATTTACAGTATGTGTAAAACAGAAAAGGGCGTTTATAGTAAGTTAGTCATTACCCTTCCACACTCCTCCTTTCTTTTCTAGAAATTACTGCAAGTAAATATACCTGTGTTTTGGATTTGTTTTTAAAATGAGAACTTTTTTCTTTCTTTTTTTTTATAGGAATTAAAAAATCTTTTGTTTGGCTCTAGTCTTTGTTGCTTCAGTGAAGAATGGAAAATACAGAGTTTCACATTTAATAACATACCACAGTTAAAATATGGCATTGTACAAAAAAAGGTACTGTAAATTACTTTCTTAAAGTGATCTTTGCTTTTTACACTGAGTTTACAAAGGCTGTGTGTTTCAGCAGTAAAAAAAAGACTCTTGTCTTTCTTTAACTTCTCTTGTTACCACTGGATGATGTCACCTTGTCAAGTCTTGTTCAGAGACTTGAGATGGATGGAATATTTCCGAGGGAAACTTAAAGTAGCTATAGAAAGTGTGTGCGCGCGCGTGTGTGTGATGAGGAGTTATTTGTAGGGAGGAAGACAAGCTTCTTCAGCTAGTGGTGATAAAAGAATAAAAGGGCAGAAATCAAGGGTGGAGTTTAAGAGAAACAGGATATATAAGGGTAATGGTTAACAAGTTTAAGATGGAGCTTGATAAGTTTCAGAATGGGGGGACATAGCAAGAATTGTGTGCTGTGCCTGAGAAATCAGAAGATTTTTGCATCGTAAAGATATAAGGGTCACATGATGAGGCTCATTCCTAAAGCAAAAGGAAAAAAATGCCCTTGCAGTGTCCCTGGGACTGGGGCACTGGACTGGTGTTGGGACCACCTCCTTTGCAGTCATGTTTCTGTAATTCTGGACTGCAGCCACAAGATGCCAGCTCCTCCCTAAACCAAGTTTTTCATGAATGCCTAGGCATCTTCTACCAAGTGGCCCACTCTAAAATCCCCAGCATGTCCCTGTGGTGACCAGAGCTGGTTAAAGTACCGTGCCATGACTAATGTCAGCCTGGTCTCTTCTTGTAAGAGCAAGGATCTGAGAACTTCAGCAGAGACTTGGAAAGGAGTAGACTCCTCTTTACAAAACACTCATCAAGCTTCTGTGCTGATGCAGAAAATCTTTATGTGGCCTGAGAGAAGTAGACTATTATTTACTATACAGAAATTAGAGGGAGAGAGGCTTTGGGGAAAGGACAATGGCTAATAAAAATATCATTAAGATGTTTAATTAACTTACCTTGTCTAGTTAAATATTTTATTAGGTTCATGGTCTCAGAAGAAAGCTGCTTATGTTTAAATAAAATCTAGTGGAAAAAAGATATTAAATGTTCATTTAAACTCCAAAAGGAACCATGGCAGTAAAGTTCACTGGTCCACAGTAAATGTTACTTTGGTGTTTCCAGACCCTGCTACTAGAGGAAGGGTGTCTCATCACTTCCAGTGACTTACTGGCCAGTAAATTCCCTGCTGTAAATTCCACAACAGGAATGGTAAACCAGACTGTTTTGCTTAGATGTGTTTATTTCAGATAGTTAATATATTTGTCCTCACTTCCAAAATTCTTTTCAGCTGACCAATTGTTTGATTCTTTCCTATGTTAAGTTTCTGTGGTGCTATAAGTAGATATTTAGAATGGTTCCTACAATTTTTTTTTTGACTGGGAGACTTTCCCTGGTGGATTGAAATAATCCTTGCTTTTTCCCTTAATATATTTCACACATTTCACTCATTATTATGTAAGTAATTATAGAGAGGTAGTGTGTGTGTAATATAAATGAGAAAATAGAAGGTATCGATATCTAAGCTATTTTCTGATTACAGGACCTTTATTTTCTAGGTTGCATACTATGCATATTGCATGTACCTGCAGGTTCCGTTCTCTTAGGCTTGATGCTGTACTTAGGACAAACTCAGAAATAAACTGATCACTTCAGTCACATTGCTATTTGAAAAGAGCAGCACTGGCTGCACTTTTCATTCTCCTCCAGGGTTTTGAGGGGAGTTTGACAGATCCTAAACTGATTCATCGTAGCCTGATCATGATCTATAAGAGCAAATTAGGGGTGCAACTATAGCATATGACAGCAATGCAATCCTGAGTTAATCTCAAGAGTAACAACAGCATAGACTTTGGCATGGGTTAAAATCAGAACAGAGACTATCCAGAAAACCTACTGGATGGTCCATACTTTCTTACCTGAATTGTTTTTCTTACTTTACCTGTGTACACAAAGCTAGCACTGATACATTGGCCTCTATGGGGTGTTGGCTGAGGGAATACCTCTGTTAAACTAATGGACTTCCTTATGTAAAGAATGAACTCATTTCTGAGAATGGCGGATGAGCTGACAGACACATGGGACAGCATCTATGGGATTTAATATGTTGAATCTTCTGTTAAATTGCAGTAATTCCCAGTACTACCAACGTGATATGTGGTATTGTGGTATCTGTAATGTTAGTCTTGTGTCCTGCATAACCTGCTCCATTTATTCATAGATGTTCCAGAGAAATTATGACTTTGCTCTATCTCCTCAGCAAACTACTTGAGTAAATAATACAATGCAAGGCACCTGGGAGAGAATTGAGTGACAAGGGAAGGAGAGTTATGGTGGATGAAGTTTTCTAGAAAAGAAAAGGGCATACCATTTGCTTCTTAGGACAACTTGTGCAGCTGTCTCTGCCATATAGTTAATCCATAGGAACAAGTCTTGCTCATGCTGTGGGGTCAGGTGGCCTAGATGGCAGGGAACAAGCAAGGAGAAGGAAATGCATTGCTACCCCATCCCACAGTCTTTCAGAACATCTATAAATTTGTTTTCCATAAAGTTTAAAGTTAATATTTGTTGGTATTGTGATTTTTTCCCAATATTAATCGTTTTAAAGGTTCAAACTTCCTTCGTTTTCTTTCTCTTCCCCAGTGAGATAGCTGCCTGGTGCAGAGGGCTATACAAAAAACTGAAATCTTTGTTCAGTGATGTAAGTGGGAACTTGAGTGGAGGCATAGTGCTCAGAGGAGCCTTTGGAAAACAGTCAGATTTTATTTCTCTCTGGGAGTTAAGTAGGCTGTGTCTCAGTAGGGATCAGGTGATCTTTCATTTGTTTGCATAATCACAGAACAGATTTTTTAAAAAGTTTCCTTTGATGTTATAGATGTCTAGACATTTTCAGGAAGAATAGGTGGGAAACACAATACCAATTAGTAACACTGATTTTTATTGGCTTGCAAAAAAATAAAGCAACAGAGAGCACTACAAAGTCATGGATCGAAGGAGAGAGATGAAAGAATGGCTTAAGCCTGAGTGGAAGCATGTAGCTTGCAAAATTTTCACCAGTATCAAACAGTGCAAATTGTTTTGCTCATGGAGTGTCCCATTACTTCCCTCAGGGTGGTCCGTGTGGAGTACTGGCTGCAGTTCAAGCTTGTGTCCTACAACAGCTTATCTTTGCAGACAGTAACAGGAATAAAGACACTCGGTAAGTCAGGAATTGACAACAGAAATATTTTCCACACAGAACTAAAAGATGTTTTTTTCTGCTGCAGCCACTCAGTAGCCTTTTGAATTTGAACTTACTGAACTTCTCTTTGTCTCTGAGAGAGAAAGAAAGGAGCATATGATTTACTTGTATTTACTTCTTTTTCAACTGTAGGAATTTAGAGGTTGCTGTTCTCTTTGTATAATTACTTGCTTGTGATTAATCCAAGCACCTCTAAAATAATCCAACAGCTTGAATTAAGGCCAATGAAAATTATTTAACCTTGAGATCCTGTGGCGATATGATTTCAAAGAAAATGTAATCAAGAGTTTGAAAGACCATGTAATTCATGCAGGTTTTGACACTAAGAAACTCAGGGAGGGTGAAAAATTAAAGTTAGAGCTATATATATATTTTTTATTGCTACTATGTTTGATCTTTCACAGCTAAACTCCTTAATAAAATTTGAATTTAAATTCTGTGTTTGTGTTTTCTACTTACTTTAAAGGAATATTGTTAATTACTGCTAGTGTCAAGGAAAATTGCTTGTACTGCTATAATATTAGCATACTTGTCACTTTGCTAAAGGAACAGAGCTTAATCAATGAAATGCTGGAAAATAATGTCTAAAAAAATCAATTCATTACCAGACTTCTTGTATTTGTCTTTTGTTTTCAGTAAGAAATTAAGGCTATTACAAAAGAAAAATTTCACAAAGCTTTCCTGCGCTCTATAGGTACAGTTATTTGAATAGAGACAGTTGTATTTTATTTGTTTATGCTACCACCACCATCTGATATTTGTGGGTGATACATTGACCACAATTTAGTCAGAAGAAAAGCTTTTATGCTGAGGTTTTTTTCTTGAACTTCATTACCTTACAATGTAAAAAAGTTCCTCGTGTATAAAAATTTGGCCTTAAATATACACTTTTCTGCTTGGAACTATTTAGGAAAGTGACTGGGTCTGTCCTGATTTTCATTAGTTTTGTCTGACTGGCACTTAATGTAAATTCATTGTTTGGGCTGCTTTCATCAATAGTGAAAAAAACCAGGCACCTGCAGAACATCATTACTTGTCTTCAGCACCCAGAATGGGAAGTGACAGTTAATCAAAGGATTGCCAGGTCCTAGGGCACTCACACAGGTGCCCAGGTCCAGAAGTACTAGTGGATAGGCAGTCCTGATACAAGACACCTAGTAATCCATAAGAAATGTTGAAAAACAGACTTAGAGTCCAAATACAATACTGAAAGTTTTACATTTATTACTACTATTGCCATTGCTAGTTGTTATTGGCACTGATTGCTTGCAGACCCCAAGACAAGGGCCAAATAAACAAGATGCTATGAATTCATCACTTGAAAATCGTCTGTTCCTTGAAGTCGCTTAAAGGCAATAAGCATGGAGAGATAAAGATGTAGGGTCAGTGGTATGATACACATGCACAGTGTAATGTTAATTCTACAATGTTACGCAGTTTAATTTTTTTCTTCGTCCGTTCAGTTCTTTCAGTACATCACCTCTGTCCATAATTAATATCAAGAGCCTGATGTTCAGAGCTCACCTTTTAAAAGTGCAGAAATTAGCTAGCAAAACTTTATTATTATAATTCAGATTATAATAAAAGCAGACTTTTCAAGGTAGAATAAGGCACTTGTCCACATAAAAGAAAAAAAATGAGAAAGAAAATCAGTACATATTTAGATTTTATGACCAGGAATCTACAGAATTCACTGAAGAATTATTTCTGGTTGTGAAAACTAATAATTTATTTCATCTTGGGGGACATCCTCTGATCATCTGCTCCTTGGTCCCTTTGAGTTTCAGGTCATCCTTAGTAAAAATAGAGATGTTAACCTTTTCCTCTTTCAACATGCTTCAGTGATCATAAGTATCATAAAATTATGCGGCACCAAAATAAGTGGATTGAGGCCAGCTTGTTTAAACTATAAGTGTCCGAACTTATGCCAGCTACAACTTATCCTGTTTACTTGGCAATATTTGCCTCTCCTATTTTTCCCCTTCTATTATCCACATGGTTTTAAAAGATTTTGGGTTTACATATTTTGTATATGAAAAATGCTGCTGAAGTATGCAGAAAGTCTCCAAGGAATTTCAGGTTAGCAGGTGAGCTCTTTGTCTTTATGCACAGAAATGCTAAAAGCCTTCAGGCTCTGAAAAATGAATAGCAAGATGGACTCTTTTATTCATGAGATAAACATATTTTTCTCATGGTGTGCTTGCCATGGGCAGAAACTCTTAGGCAGAAAGAAAGGGGAGTCTCAGAGCTTGAAATAAGATGATTAATATTTCTTTCTAATTCTTACCTGAATTTTCAAATCATTCTCCACCTTACAGTAAGTGTTTGACTTTAGGCTTTTTCAACATTCAAGAAATAATTATGTCTCCTTACTGTGCTACCTCTCTCAGACACATAAATTAGTTGCTAAGCTTCCCATAAATTTCTGAATGTCTGTATTAGAACACAGGCAGAGAAAAGAGGAAGTTGTGATTATATTTTATTTACTTGAAAACTCTCACAAATTATTTCCCATATCTTACATCCCTCAGAGAGGGAAACATTCTCTAAATGAACATTACATTGAAGGCAGACATCCAACTTGAAAGTCTGTTTAATTTTTTGATGTTTGGTGTTTCTTGTTTAGTCTTTTGAATTATTAGATCTTTTATTCAAATGCTGGGAACAGGTTTGACATCATCTCCCATGCTGGTAACAATCTTAAGACTGATAATATCTGAATTTCAAAGACTGCCATTCTTGAAGGCACTGGAGAAAATTCCAGTTCTGTGATATTTGGGATCAATAGACTGCTGTAAATATTCCGTAGTTCTGTACATCACTGTGTAAATTCCAAGCCAGGCATCTAAGTGAAAATATTTCAGAAACGATGGGGCTGCACATACCAATGCTGTGTCAGTTACTGTAATGTTTTAGGTCACCACTTTGGGAGCATACCTTTTTATTATAAAAATGCAAATGTAGTGTTTATTGCAGATGGTACTTTAATTAAAGTTTAGTAGTACGTAAGAACATTATGGTGTAGATTTATTGACAAGACTTAAGAAATAAAAACATAGGAAAGAATTTGTGAAGGCCTTAATAAACTAAAATTCATATTTAATATGTAAGCCAATCCTGTTACAGAATATTAAAACAATTTTATTACAGATTTAAAGATGAATTAGCTTCTCATGTCTGTTATTTGCTAATACAGTATTGTTCCCTAAAGTACATTTACCTGTTTTTTTGTCCAACCAATTATAAATATGTATTCTGAAAGAGCATGCACTATTTCTTTTAGATTATTAGTTTTCAGGGTGTTATTATAGATCTATGTATAACCAGTTCCAGTTGTTGATCATATCTTATTTAGTCTTCTCTCAATTTTAATAATTGTAATTGTTTTCATTTTAATTCTTGGTAGTAATAGTTTTTAGTCATTCCCTATAAATCAGACACCATCTTTACTATTAATCTCCTAGAAGTAGAGACTGTGCATTTCATCTCTTAGATTCACTTGTATTACAAGGCTATTGTCATAAAACTTATAGGCTACGAAACTTACAATTGCTTAATTTAAGTACCCATGACAGCAGTCTAACCATCATTATGAGCAACATAAACTCATCCAGATCCTCCAAATGCAGCACACTGCTGTTAAGACTTAGGTGAATTAACTTCAACTTCCCTCAAATTTCTGGTTTGCTTCTGACTTCAGAAGAGACCTACCCACTGTGCCCAGTTTGTTTTACTAGCAGTCTAAAGAGGAAGTTGTTCCAAATACAACTCTATTCACTGGATCTTATTATCTTCAGTAAGATGCAAGGTATCTTCGTAAATGCTGAAAATGAGATATAAGGTGGTTGACCTCAAAGAATGGTTCCAGAAAGCCCATATTGCAGCAGCGACTTCAGCTGCATCTCCATCTTTAGAGCTCTTTAGGTGCTGAACTGTAATTGGAGCAGTTTGCCCTCTGATGAGTAACCATCCCAATACACATTTTGATACTTCTCTGTTTCTTGCATATCATGGACTTCAGTTGCCTTCAGCCTTCAGAAGTTCACAGGACCGAATGCCTCACCATGGCTATTGCAGACATATTGTGGCGTGCAGGGGGCAATGAAAAAGCAATTGTGGCACTGTAAGTAGGAGAAGCAGTTTCAGTTATTGTACAATGCTGGTATACTTGTATCTGTTACTTATGTACATAGTTTGCAAAATGAAAGTTTTGTAAGATGTATTTGTGCAGTCTAAAAATGGCTTGGAGAGAAATGCAAAATGTAATTTCTACTGTCCCACTAGCTGGGACAGTAGAGTCAAATTCTTTAAAATTGCTGTGAAATATCCTGTGGATTTCATTGAGATTAGGATTCCTCGAAAATCTTTACCAAGCATTATATTTCCCGATGCAGCATTTTAGTCTTAAAAATTTCATATTGCAGGATATTCTATTATGGCTGGGATTAATTTCCTTCTGCTGTAGCTGCCTACTAGTCAGTTTATGCACCAATTAGGCTTCTTTGTAAACAAAACATATAACTTTTAGATCACTAGCTTTGGCTATACTGGATTCTACATGATATTTTTAAGTAAACCAGGCTTTGTGAGAAGAGGTCATTTCTTTTATTAGATCAACTGAGATAGCTGAAAAATAACAGAGAAGCTTTTGGGCACAGAAGTCCTTCTTCAAACCTGAAATACAAGCAGCAAATTCAAAGACATTTCAAGTGATATTTTGCATATTTTACATCTAGAAAATGCTTCCTCTGTGATGATATTGTACATATGTTCTTTTGCTTGCTTTAATGTCATTGCTCTAATATTATTTTCCAATAAAACCTGTCATTAATATCTTAAACCTATATTTAACCTCTTTCTGTGTAGACAAACTTGTAATTCATATTAGATAGACTATGAGAGCACAGCCCAGCTAAAGTATATTGCTTCACTGATAAAATTTTGTTTAATATATAGTATGAACTTATTATGCAAGAGGTATTTTTAAAAAAAGTTAAAAATAATAATACAAAATCATGATTCAGTTCATATAACATGCTGATTTGTCTTTAATGTCATTTTGTTCCTTTTAACATGAGCTTTGGTTTTGTCTGTCTATCTTCTTCAGGCCATCAGGAAGACAGCAGTTCACTCCCATAGGAAAATACAAGGCAGATGGAATCTTAGAAACTGTAAGGCTCTGTGTATCTCACAGTAACATTCTCCATATATCCTCTTTCTAGATTTTCTTATTTTAGCACAGTGACTGTGATTTCCATTGCTCTCTTAGTGTTTTAAAATCTTTTATGTCAAATTAGTTGGATCCAAAAGCCAATAGGACGTAACAGAGTCCTGTAGTTTGTCTGCCTGGCTCTGAGTCATCCCAGTGTCTCTAGGCAATTGGGCTTTCTGAAGTCCTTTTTGTTCCATCTACCTTTCAAGCTTATAAACTGCCTATTTTAATTGATACACAGTAAAAGTGAACATGGATCCTTTCAAGTTGACCATGAGCATCAAAAGGCAATATTTTATTCTTGTCTTACATAGAATTCTTTGTCTTTTTATTTTTTCCCACTTCAGAAGCTCTAAATGGGAAAATACTTTCCAGTTATGCTTTTATTTCCATCTGAAGCTCTCAAATGGCTTTGCTAACAGTGATGCCATAAGCCAGGCTTTAGTGGTTTAAAGAAATATTACTGGCCTCCTACATGGAGGAATAGATGTGTTAACAACTTTTCAGAAGCAGACAGTTTTGGAACAGCTAGAAGTGAAAACCTGTATAAACAGCTTGAATGCAGCAGGAAACCTTGTCTGTAATATGCTCTTCCAACAGACAAGATAAATTATTTAATTAATATGTTAACATAATTCTGAGTAGGTGGCTATTTCAGAGTGCAGTTAACACCATTATGCTGCCTCTGAGTACTGCTTATCAAAGGTACTGTGGACATAGCCACGGTGAAAATATGGTGGAAAGGAATATAATCCAGACTGCTTGATCTTTCCTCACACGGTATCCACAAGACCATCATTTCTGTCAAAATCTGAAGATGACAAAGTATGTTGATGTAAGGGTCTGGATCTATGAATTCTCCTGTTAAATAGGAGTATTTATGGGAATGTGGTAGGAAGTGACCTGATACATGCCTGCTATGGATGGCTCACCACATAGGTACAAACTCCTGAGCTACTTGCCCATTCTATGTCTTCTAAAGCTGCAGTATTCCTATGTTTGTTCTAGGAATTGTTTTTCATTTCATAAACGATGCTTAAAACTGAGTCAAACTGTCTGTTCAGTGAACTTAAAACCAAGAAGAAGCAGTATTAAAAATTCAAAATATACAAAGTGCTGAGATACAATATTATACCGAGTAACAACAGTAAGAGGTAGATTTCATTAGATCTTTATTCCATTTTTTTAGTTCAAGTCTTTTCAGTTGGACTGAAAGTTTTGGCTACTTTAGTTCAGCTTTCAGGTAATAAAAATGAGTTGTTATTGTTTTGTTGATTTTTTTTTTCTTCTTACATTTCTTCTTAGCTAATACTACATAGTGCCACAAGATACGAAGATCTGATTATATTTCTTCAGCAGAATATTCACCAGGTACTGTGTATTAGAGAAGATACTAAACCTGTTATAGTTCAGCTGCCAGTCCGTCTGTGTTTATCAGTCTCATATGAGGTCTTCTGAACATTGTTTCAAACACTATGTGGACATGTCTTGCATTTTAACAAACAGCAACAAATTCAGTTTTGACATAAATGAGAACAATTCTTTCCGTTTTCATTTCGATTTGCATTTCTTTAGGATTGGGCAAAAAACATAGGCAACAAACAAAATAAAACCAGTCCTTTTCTTTTTCAGTTTGAAATTGGTCCCTGTGGGTGCATTCTTCTGACCGTGTCTGTCATCTTATCAAGATCTATCAATCTGTGAGTGTCTTTGTATCCCTACTTCATAAATTTCAAACTGTGTAAAGTAGGGAAGCAACCATGATGTACTTAATTCTCTGGCCTTTTTAATCTATCTTGGTGTTTACTCTGTTAAATATAGGGAAAATATGCAGATTTACTCACCTAATCTTGGGTGTTTTTTTTTTTTAATTGTATGAACACACACACACACACACACACATATATATATATATATATATATATATGTTGTTAAAGTGGTAGTGATCAGTCCACCTATCTGATATAATTACTCCATCTAAACATTAGACATAGTTGCCTATGCTCCCTGTCATGACAGTTGAAAGCAGGACTCTCTTAGAGGGTTATTTATTTCAGGTATCAGTCTTAGGTAGGGATGAATAACTTTCTTGTGATACTCTAGTCTCTCCATCAATGATAATGGTAATGAAAGGCTAGTATAAAATGGATTAGGCAGCTAATTTTTAGATGGCTATAAGTGAGGTATGACAAATCTGGTCTCAGTTTATTGGTGTAATAAATATGCTGAGCTCCAACTAAGGGATAGTCATTATAGCCTTTTTTAAAAACTCACTGAGGCTTGCCCAAGCACAGTTGCAGTTAATTGTGCTTTTATACAAATTAAACGTATTTCTTTGAATATTAGAGTGGGTCAGAATGTAAAAGCTTTCTTTATTTTGTCCAATTCCACTTTTGTAAAAGTCTCCCAGAGTTACCTGCAAGTGAAAAGACCTGTTCCCTGACAGTTCACTTTCCCAACAACAACTGACTTGAAGAAAGCAGTTGCACTTGAAAGCAGCACAGGCTTGATTTATGTAAGCTATTATTTCTTACATCTCTGCATTGTTTTGAAAATAAATAGCTACTTAGTCCAAATATGTGATATGCATTGAATTGCTCACCTACTGAGATTCTTGTAAGTGTTTACAGATTTTTTTTGCTTTGTTGTCATTTATTCCTTTCTTTTGCTTACAGTTACACTACAGGCCATTGGCTTAACTCCACTTTTGCACTCTAACTCAAATGACATAATGATTTTATAGCATATGTCATTTATTCTCATTTTTCTAAGCTAGTTACAGCAGAGAGGTCCAAATTAGTAAAGGTATTTGAACAAGTAACAATATATTTGGCATTTGATAAGATTACCAAAAGCAGCAATGTTCCTAATTGCTATTGATTGAATTGCTTTACTTGCTATAAAATGGTAAACATTCTTTAATAATAGAAGCAAGAAACTTTTTTTTTTTTTTTTTCCCCATCACCTCAGTTCTTACCAGATAGATTATGACAAGGCCAATCAATCATCTGTGTTTGTATTTGGGGGAGATAAGTGTCTAAAGTGAACTTGAAAATTCCCTATGGGCCCTATTTGCATTTTTAGGTATCTAAATATTTTTACAGTTCTGATCCACAGTGTCAGAATTGTTTATAAAATGTTGCTCTATCTTGAGGAATATTCATGTCTTTCTCACAGAACTTCATTTGAAAGTACCATTACTCTTCTAGCTCAATACTGTGTAATATATTGCATTGGTACCTATGTTTTGTTTATAAGACACAGGAATTTTTCTCCGTCACTAGATACAGTGGAATGTGTTTTCAGACCTTTGCATAAATGTTTTTAGAAGTGCAAACTAAATTTCATTTATGTAATTTTTGGTAATAGATTTGAATGGCTATGTCATAGTACTTCTCTTAGGTTACTACAGATATCAAGGCAAATAACTCACTGCTCATATCTTTAAGAAATATGTACCGTTTAGTGAGTGTTGCAAGCATTGTAAGTAATTATTTACATAACTGGCATAGTTCAGGATGAATAGTTGAAGACACATAAGAATTGTTTTAGGTAATGGAATTTTCATCCAGTAATAAATCTCCTTGGGATTTATTTTTTTTTGTCCCAGCTTTTTAGCACAAAATCAGTGGTTGGTTTGTTTTGGGTTTTGGTATTTTTTTTTTTTAAAGAGAAAATTTCACAGAAATTTCAATTGTCCTGATTTTTGTGTGCATCTTCTATTGAAAAAGCTAGATAGATTTTAGTTCAGAAGTTGACATATTTTAGTTTCTTAAATCATGATGAAATGCTTCTGTTTGTGTCAGTTCTTCACCATGTGCCCACAATGCTGAGTCTCTGTGGTCCCTTGGTAAATATCTCTTCTATAAATAATTGGCACTGCTTGTATGGAAGTTGAAAACTAATGATGGAGTAGTCTTGAACCATGGTTATCAAAAAACAATATTGTGTAAGATGCAGGGCTATGTTCGATGAAACCAAACCAAAACATTTATGTTTGGTTAAACAAAGAGAAGACTATTATTGAAATGTTTCTTTCAATCAGAAATATACTTCTCAGTGTTTTCTGTTCCATTAATCATTACAGTGTTTAGTGAAGCTTTCACTTCAGGATATAATAAGAAGAAACTAACATATTAGAACATATTTTATATGGTGGGGAAACATTAATTACCCATAAAAAAAAGCAGAGCACTGAAAATGGACTAAATGGTGAGGTTGATTAATTGAAGGATAAGTACCACTGTACCAAGACCTGTGCAGTTCAACCCATGTGAAACTAGTCTAGAAGGGGTGCAGGATAATGAAACCGCAAAGCTTACAGACTTCCTCAGAGCAGTCACATCTCTGGGCAGATGCTTTCCATGCCTGTACAGATGGAAGATCGCATGCAGTTGTGACCACGCACATAATTCAGAAATGATAGCTGCAGTAGTTGGTGGGTTCTGAATGATCAAAACCTCTTAGCAACTTCTTAAATCCATGACTAAGTTCTAGCAGTTCAGAAGGATCTCAGTGCCAACAATGGAGTAATCTCATCTAAATTCAGCCTGCTAAAAATTATGTGAAGTCTCAGTTCTCCTAACTCCCTCTGTGAAAAGTGAGAAGCTTTTCTAAGAGAGATTCTAAGAGAGAATGATCCCGTTGGAAAAGAAGTGTCAAGAAAGGTGAGGACAGTTGCTGTGGGCAGTGCCTGTTTTTTTCCTTTGAGTCTGGAGGGAGAACTACTAGCTAAGACTTCTGTATCTTAGGTGTTTGCTATTTTGAGGGTAGTGATCTATCTTACCTCTATTTACTTTTTATGGAAATATTTGCATCTAGGCTTCCTTTATGCTCAAAAAAGAGAAAAAAATCTTGATTCAGTTGACTCATTTTGAATGTCAATCTTAGAATGAGATAAATCATCCCTGAAATGCTTATTTATCTCCCCTATATAAAAAGAAAATCTAAATGACCTACTCGTATAGAAGCTTTACACTGTAAACATCAAGTGGTGAAATGAATTCTGTCTTATAGTGACTGGTCAATTAAATGGGAGATGAAATTTAGTGTTAATAATGCAAAGCATTATACATGATGAAAAAACAGTCTCAATTCTACTTACCTAGTGATGGGCTTTAAATAAGCTGTTCTAAAAAAGGAGAGAAATTCTGGCACCACTACTAGTAATCTGAAAATATTAGTTCAATTTTCTATGACAGACAAAAAAGGAATAACGTGTTGGAAGTTAGGGTGATAAGAAATGAGAACAGAATAAAAACATGGTAATGTTTTTATATAAATATACGATCTTATCATGTCTTTATCTTGCATGTAGTCTTGTCTCCCCAGGTCAGTAAAGACACATTAGAACTAGAACCCATTGGAAGACAAAACCAATGTTTCCCTTTAGTGTGGACTAGCTTCTGTGTGAGGACAGATGAAATCTTTTCAGCACTGAAGAGGTATAACTCAGATGTGATAAAAGTTTAGGCATCCATGATAAGGTTGAATAAGGAGTGATGATATTATTTCTGAGTCCAGAAACTTGGGGGCTGTCATGGAAATGCTCAGGCTTCCATTTTAAAACAAACCACAGTACTTTTTTTCCACAGCATAAGTAACTTTCAGTACTGGGAGATGAGGAAGCTAAAAGTATGAAGTGCTTCAAATAAATTTAGTCAAATTACTGGAACATACATGATTCGGTACCTTTAAACCCAGCTGTGTAGGTGTAATCTCCATGTGCCCCATTTTTGTGTTCTGCCTTGATGTTTGCTACTGCTGCTGCTGACTGAATGCTGGGATAGGCTGACTTTTGGTCTGGCTCCATAATTTTTACATTGTTACTGATTTTACCTGTAAATGGACATTGCAGATTTCAGCTAGGTCTGTCGAGCAGTTGTTCTAAATCACTGACAACCTTAAGTATTTTTGTTTAATGGGAATGCTTGCCAGGAAATGCAGGGTTTTGCACTGCTTTGTAGATTTTGGTAACGAGTTTATCATACTCCATGAACTAATGATCATCACTGGTAGAACTGATAACAAATGGCCAAAGAGGAGTGCGAATTCCTGAGGAAGTTGCTGAGAACGTGTTGCTGCTTCTGGTACAGGAAGGAATGCTAGTCACTAACAATTGTAAACTCTTTTTTTGTTTTTTGTAACAACCAGTGAATTAAAAAATAGTGGGCGTATTGTACTAGCTCAGGGGACTAATCTTCTTGATTGTGCAAAATGTGTACTAAAAGCTTCATGTTGTTAAGAGCTACGAGATATTTTCCATGTACTCAGGAGAGACTGAGCTTAAAGGTGGGCTGCAAGCCCACATGTGGGCCTCTCCATTGCAACTGAGAAAAGCACATTGTGTGTAGCAAAGTTATGAATACTCAGGAGTGGTTTACACCGACCCAGTAATGGCAGCTTCAGTCAACCCCACAGTTTTACTGAAGTTACAACATGGAATGGCAGCACAAGCTTTCTCTACTAGATGCTGTCATCACCTCTAACTCTTGGCACCTCCCTCACTGTGCTTACTCATGCAAAACTATTGCTATGTTGGGATGTGGCTGATTCTTACCCATTCATTGAAAAGCTTTCTTTAAATTTCAACTTACAAAACAGTCACACTGTTGTTATTGCCATATTTTTCTTAATCAATGCAACAACTATTGTATAAAACCATAATTACTAGAATCTATAATAGCAAAGAATGTATTGA